ACTACAAAAGTAATTATCTTTTTGTTTTTGTTTGTAAGAACGAGGAATACATCCTTTTCTTTACATTCAAAATAATACTCCCCTTCTTATATTTTACTTGTCATATTTGTCCTCTGCACACTCCTTAAAAAATATTAATTAAAAAAATAATTTAACTAAACTACTCGTATTTATTCTTTGATGTTAATTTATTACGACTATTTTTTCTTTCACTATTTACCATATTAGTCGCTTTCGTTATTTTATTAGGAAAAGGATAAAACTGAAAAAAAATAACTTATTCTAAAACGACAAGCATTTAGGGTGTGTTTGGTATGAAGAAAAATATTTTTTGAAAAATATTTTCCCATGTTTGGTTGGCTTAAATATTTTGGAAAACATTTTCCTTATAAATTTATTTTTCTCCAATTGGAGGAAAATGTTTTCCCTATCAAAAGAAGGGAAAATATTTTTCAAAACTCTTATTCAACCTTCTACGCCCTATTCCCATGCCCACCAACCCAACCCAACCCCAAACCACCCCAATCCCTACCCTTAATGTGATGACCCAAAATGTCATATTTAAATTTAATAAGTAATTCTGTATTTTAAGACATCAAAAAGCACCATGTGTCATATCTCGACTTGCGTGCGCAGTCCGTATAAATTTCCAGAAAGTTTTTATGTGAAAAATAGATTAAAATGTGAAATAGAGCTTTAAACTCAACTGAGTTGACTTTGGTCACCATTTTGAGCAAACAGACCCGGATAAGTATTTTGACAATTTTGATAGGTCCGTATCGTAATTTGGGACTTGAGCGTATGCCCGGAATCGAATTCCGAGGTCCCTAGCTCGAGATATGGAATTTTGATGAAAAATTAAAAGCTTGAAAGCTTAATAATTTTTAAGAAATTACTGATGTTGGATTTATTGACCTCGGGTCCGTATTTTAATTCCGGAGCCCGGTATAGGTCTACTATAATATTTATGACTTGTCTGCCAAATTTGGTGAGAATCAGAGTTGATTTGACATGATTCGGACGTCCGGTTGTGAAAATCTAAGTTTTAAACTTTTCTTAAACATTTCATTCATTTGATCGCGCGAGCAAGTTCGTATGATGTTTTAGAACTTGTGTGCATGTTTGGTTTGGAGCCCCGAGGGCTCGGGTGAGTTTCAGATAGGCTACGGGATGATTTCGGACTTTGGGCTTCTGGTATTTCCTTCATCGCGTTCGCGAATGTACTCTCGCGAACGCGAAGAGCAAACTGAGCTGGTTAAATTTTCCTTCTTCACGAACGCGAAGATTGGGTCGCGAACGCGAAGCTATAGGGACTTTACCCTTCGCGTACGCGACCAGCTCAACGCGAACGCGAAACTTTAAAGACTTGGGGGAGGGGTCAGTCGTCCTTCTACGCGAACGTGAGCACTGGCACGCAAACGCGAAGGAGGACTCGCGAACGCGAAAGCCACGGGCTGCTACTCATCGCGAACGCGACAGGCACTTCGCGAACGCGAAGAAGGCCTGACGCATGTGACTTAAAATGGAATCAGAATGAGATTTTTTCTATTTTTCACAAACCCTCAATTAGAACTCGGCTTAGGGGCGATTTCAAAAGAGTTTTTCACGATTTCGAACTGGGTAAGTATTCTTTATCATATAGTGATTGTATTTCATAAATCTAAGTCTATATCTATATTCATCGTTTATTTCGGATTTAGATGGAAGAAATTGGAATTTTTATAAAATTTTCCAAAAACAAAAAAAAATTAGATATGAAGGTCCAATTGACATCGGAATTGGATAATTTTTATATGGTTGGACTCGTCTCGGATTGGGTATTCGGATTTCGTAAGTTTTTTCGAGATTTGAGACGTGGGTCCCACTGCCGAATATTTTAATGAATTTTGGATTTTTATCCGAAAAATTTATAAATTCATATGGAATTAATTCATATGATTCGTATTGAGTATATCGAATTGTTGTGAATAGATTTGAAGCTTTTGGAGACAATTTTAAAAGGAAAAGTTGTGATCGAATAATTGATTGGAATTTGCAATGCGAGGTAAGTGTCGTGGTTAACCTTGACTTGAGCGAATAGAACCCTTAAATTATTTATTATGTGAATTGCATGTGAACGATGTATAGGCGAAGTGACGAGTGTCTATACGTCGTCAAATTAATTATTTGCATGCTTACTTGAAAAATCATAAATTATTTTAAATTCTTTGTCAAATATTAATTCTTGAATTCCTGCATTAATTGTTACATGCTATTTGAATTATGTGCCTTAATTGTTATTTGACATTTAGCATATTAAATATTATACTGTATATTTTCTCTCTGATTTTCATAATGATTTGCTATTTGCCTTTGTTTGTTTCATAATTAAATCATAATTATTGTATGCTTGTTGTCTTATAATTTTATATTAATTGTTACATTTATTGGGGAAATTTCTTCTATAAGAATTGGTAAATGAATATGTTGGAGGAGCGGGTTGCACGCCGCAACAAAATTGATTATAATGAATATTTTGGAGGAACAGGTTGCACACCGCAACAGAATTAATTATAATGAATATATTGGAGGATCGGGTTGCACGCCGCAACACACTTATTAAAAAGTCCATATTAGAGGATCAGGTTGCACGCGCGCAACAGACTTATTAAAAGTCCATATTGGAGGATCGGGTTGTACGCCGCAACAGACTTATTTAAAAGTCGACATATATATTTATATATTGGGGGATCGGGTTGCACGCGTGCAACAGACTTGATTAAAATGAATATATTGGAGGAGCGGGTTGCACGCCGCAACAGAACTGAATGTGAATATATTGTGAGAGCGGGTTGCACGCTGCAACAGAATTGATGGAAATAATAATTGGTTATGGTTGCTGAGTTGGCTTCAATTATTATAAATGAGTTACCTGATTTATTTCTATTATTAATGTTGTTACTAATATTGCGTACATGTTATGTAAGTGACCCGCCTTAGCCTCGTCACTACTTCGTTGAGGTTAGGCTCAGCACTTACCAGTACATGGGGTCGGTTGTACTGATACTATACTCTGCACTTCTTGTGCAGATTTTGGAGTTGGTCCCAGCGGCGTACCATAGACTTGCTCGGATTTCAGCTACTCAGAGGAGACTTAAGGTATAACTACACGGCGTTTGTAGTTCTAAAGTCCCCGTCTACTTTACTTTACCTGTGTGTTTATTTCCAGACAGCTTTATTTTATTCAAACCTTTATTTGTATTTATTCTAGAAGCTCGTGCACTTGTGACACCAATTCTAGAATGGTATTTAGATACCGTTATTTTTATGAATTATTCACTATATTTTAGATTTTGCTTCCGCATTTGTTTCTTTGATTATTAACAATTTAAAAATTATTTTTAAAATGGATAATATTATTCTAATGCTGGTTTGCCTAGCAAATGAAATGTTAGGCGCCATCACGGTCCGAAGGTGGAAATTTCGGGTCGTGATACCTACCCCTACCCAGACCCCACCCCACCCTAAATAAAATTATTATTAAGAGTATTTTATTTTCATGTTGCAGATAGAGTATTTTTTTTATTTCAACAAAATAAGTATATTCTTTTCATGATGTAATAAAAGTATTTTCTTTCATTTTAACAAAACAATACTGTTTTTATGATGTAGAAAAAAGTATTTTCTTTCATTTTAACAAAACAATACTGTTTTTATGATGTAGAAAAAAGTATTTTCTTTCATTTTAACAAAACGAGTTCTTTCTTTTCATTATATAGAAAAAGTATTTTCTTTCATTTCAACAAACTAAGTATTTTCTTTTCGTGGAATAGAAAAAGATTTTTTTCAAAAAGTGAGTACTTTCTTTTCATGATGTAGAAAAAATATTTTCTTTCATTTCAACAAAATGAGTACTTTCTTTTTATGATGTAGAAAAAATATTTTCTTTCATTTCAACAAACTAAGTATTTTCTTTTCTTAGAATAGAAAAAGTATTTTGTTTCAAAAAATGAATACTTTCTTTTCATGATGTAGAAAAAGTAATTTCTTTTATTTTAACAAAACGAGTACGTTCTTTTTTCATGATGTAGAAAAAGTAATTTCTTTTATTTCAACAAACTAAGTATTTTTTTCTTTCATTTCAACAAACTAAGTATTTTCTTTTCCTGAAATAGAAAAATTATTTTTTCCCCAACAAAGCGAGTACTTTTCTTTTCATGATATAGAAAAAGTATTTTCTTTCATTTTAACAAAAAAAATACTTTCTTTTCATGATTTAGAAAAAGTATTTTCTTTCATTTTAATAAACTAAGTATTTTCTTTCGTGATGTAGGAAAAATATATATATTTTTTATTTTAACAAAACGAGTACTTTTTTTTCATGATGTAGAAAAATATTTTCTCAGTTTAACAAATTGAATATTTTTTTTCATGATGTAGAAAAATTATTTTCTTTTATTCAATAAAATGAGTAATTTATTTTCATATAGTAAAAAAGATACTTTCTTTTTCAACAAAATAAAGTATTTTCTTTTTAGTTATCGAGCTCAAATTTTAACGTTGTTCTTGTGGGAAAAATTAAAGTAATACATTAGTTTCTTTGGGTTTGTGTGAATTTTGAAAAGAATAATTAAATTCTTGAAAAAATAGAGTCCGAAGAGGGGGGGGAGGGGGAGGGTGAGGGAGAACGAGTATAGAAAACATGGAGATTTTGGGGAAAGTGAGTTGAGGAGAATAGCATAAAATATTATTTTCCTAAATATATTTTATACTCTCTAACCAAACACTAAAAAATATTTTCCTAAAAAAGTTTTTTCACTCACCAAACAAATACGAAAAAATAAGTGATAAAACTACTCATTTTCCAGAAAAGCATTTTCATGGAAAATATTACCAAAAACACCCTTAAACATGACAATTAGGATAAGGGTAAAAATGAGAATTTCTTTTTTATTCTAAAATGAGTAGTAGTATTTAAACCTGATAAACGAGGGAGTAGCAAACTACACCACCTACGGCTCTTCACTGTTACTGTCTTCGTTTCCAAAAGAAAAACGCAATTGTTCCTAGGAGATGGTTTCATACAATAAGCTTTCCGCTTGTTGTATATCTCACGAGTTCTATAAAGTTGCTACAACCAACCCCAACAAAATTGCAGTGATTCAAGCTTTTGGGGGTCTCAAAATCGCCAAAGAATTTCAACTCCTTTGCACGGAAAACGGCGACGGAGAAACCCGCGAGACGTTTGAAGAGTTTGTTTCTTCCAAGATGACGTCGGTTAATCCCCCGGTATACGAAGGTGATGAGTGCTTCACGTATTCCGATGTTCTGTCTGCCGTTGATTCTCTTAGTTCACGGCTCCGTTGCATTCTTGACGGTGATGATGACCCCAATCTTGTGAAACCCTATTCAGGTATAATGTGTGTGTATGTGTTGGTAACTGAAATTTGTGATTTTATGGGGTATTAATAAATTAACGTAAAGATTTATTGAATTTGTATCCATGGAGAAAAAAAAAAAAATCAAATTCTTCTTAATCTGGTTATTTAATTTGTGAACTATTATTTGTGTAAATTTTATATGATGAAGAAAAGATGGTGTTAATGTCTGTGTTAGTAACTGAACTTTGTGATTAACTGCTGTCTTAACGAATTAAGATAAAAGCTTTTTTTTTTGTTTCTGTTTAATCTCGTATTGAATAAACCAAATTCGTGTAATCTGTGAACACCTGCATTTTTTCTAGTTTGGAGAATAAATCTTGCTTAATTATTACCTTCCCTACCCTCCTGGGCTAAATGGCTGAATATGAATATCTCGTGCGTCTTGCAAGCTTACAACTGTGCTGTAATGTTCTTATATGAAATTTGCAAACAAAAATGGAATTCAAACTTTTATTGATAATTGTCAACCGTATTACAACTCAGGAAGTTACAATTGGAAACTAATGGGTCTTCAAGCTGAACTTGAGCTTTAATGGCGGATCACCTGAGAGAATAAGAAGTAAGGTAAGAGAGAGAAGAGAAGAACGAAGAGAGAGAGAGGAAGAGTTGAGAAATGAATTACCAGAATTTGCATAACTGTATCTTCCCAGCTCCTTGGAATATAAGGCCCAATCTGTAACAACCCACTAACTAACTAATAGCCCACTAACCGACTCAGTTGAGGATTGATCTGGGCCTTTATTGATTAAGCTAACTTCTAATCTCAGCCGTCTAATACAACTAACCTACTAAAACACGTGTGCTCAATAAGGGTGATAAGCTGCCACGCCGCCTTTCCCATTTCAGTCTCTTTATTGTATCGACCAGCTCACTTTCCAAATCCAAACCCTAATTCGATCAATTTTCCAATTTAGAGGCTCCCTTCTACAGACATAACAATACCCCCGTTCAAATCGACCTCGTCCTCAAGGCCGGAGTTGAGCTACAAATTCAGGAAACCACCCCTTGATGTACCCCCAATCTTCCCAGGTTGCTTCATCAGCTCCAAAATTCGACCATTAGACGAGAACCTTGACTGCTGCTGCATTATTCACTTTGACAATGCGTCGCTGGAGGATAGCCACTGGTTCAACCATCAAACGGCCATCTTGGCCACAGATTGGAGGTTGTAGCTGAGTCACCACACTTGGACCTACATGCTTTTTCAGCTGGGACACATGGAAAACTGGGTGAATCTGAGAGCCTGTTGGTAGAGCTAATCGGTAAGCCACTGAACTTATTTTTTGTGTGATTTGGTAGGGTCCATAGTATTTTGCACTGAGTTTCAAATTCTTTCTGACTGCCACTGAAACTTGTCTGCAGGGTTGTAGCTTTAAGTAAACCTAGTCCCCTTCATTTAGAACCCTGTATGCACTGTTTTTATCGGCAAAGAACTTCATTCTAGCTTGAGCCACCTGGAGATTTTCCTTTAAATGTTGTAGCATGGTTTGCCTGAGGGCTAGGTTAGCCCCCGCAGTAGTGTGAGTGGAGTGGGGTAGGGATTCCATGGGAATATGAGGGGGTGGGTATCCATAAACAACCTCAAATGGGGTGGACTTAAGGGTTGTGTGCTAGTTTGTGTTGTACCACCACTCAGCTAAAGAAAGCCACTTAAGCCAGTGTTTAGGATTGTAGAAATTCATGGCTCTGAGGTATGACTCTAGGCACATGTTAAGCCTCTCAGTCTGACCATCTGACTGAAGATGATAGGAAGTGGACATGTTGAACTTAGTTCCCATGGACTTTAACGTTTGTTGCCAAAATTGGCTAGTGAACAGGGGATCTGTATATGTTACTATGGACTTGGGTAATCCATGGAGTTTATATATCTCTTTCAAGAACACATCTGCAACTTCCTTAGCTGTGTAGGGGTGCTTAAGAGGAATAAAATGCCCATATTTGGTGAGTCTGTCTACTACCACCAAGATAAAGTTCTTGTGTCCAGAGTGGGGCAAGCCTTCATTGAAATCTATGTGCTATATCTTGCATTGGTTCTTCGGGGATGGGCTTGTAATAGGCCTGGGTAATGCACATGTTCAGTCTTCACCCTCTGACACACAATTCAGCTACCCAATTCTGTATGTCCTCTATCTTTGGCCAGTAGAAGACCCTGTAAGTCCCCTGTTGACCAGAGTGACCCCCCAAGGGTGATTGATGGAATACCTCAAAGATCTTTGTTCTAAGATCAACATTCCCTCCCACTCAAATTTTCTTGTTTATACCTGATGATGCCCTGTTGTAAGGAGAAATCTGGCTTGTTAACAGGGCTGGTGATCAGCTCAGTTAACAGTTGTAGAGCCATAGGGTCATGTTCATAACTTTGTGCAATCTCCTCCATCCAAGTTGGGTTGGTAGTAGTAATGGCACATAGAGAAAGCTCTTCCTCCTCCCTTCTAGATAGTGCATCTGTAACCCTATTCTTTGCTTCTTTTTTGTACTGTCGTTCATAATCCAAGCCAAGGAGCTTGGCCATACCTCTTTGTTGGAAAGCAGTGGTCACCCTTTGCTCTAGTAGGTACTTCAAGCTCTGGTGGTCTGTTCTAGTAATAAATGTCCTCCTTGTAGGTAGTGCCTCCATTTATCTACAACTGACATAATAGCCATGTACTCCTTCATAAGTAGATAAGCCCTATGTGTCTAGGACCTAAAGCCTTGCTGAAGAATGCAATGGGTTTGCCTTCGTGCCTTAGCACAACCCCATCGTTGTAGAGCAAGCATCAGTTTCCACAATGAAAGTGTTTGTGAAGTCTGCTAGGGCTGGTACAAGTGCAGTAGACATGGTCTGTTTCAATGCCAGGAAGGCAGTATCAGCTTATGCAAACCATTGGAAGGCGTTCTTTTTCAGTAAACTAGTTAAAGGTCTGCTGCTGATGCCATAAGATTGTATAAACCTTTTGTAGTAGCCTGTTAGGCCCAAAAATCCCCTTAGAGCCTTGACGGATTTAGGAACAGGCCAATAAGTCATTACTTCTATTTTAGAGGGATCTATAGCTACACCTTCCCCAATGATAATATGCCCTAGATATTCCACCTTTGATTGTCCAAAAGAGCACTTAGAAAATTTGGCAAAGAGCTGCTCCTCCCTCAGTATTTCCACTACTCTTTCAAGATGTTTTTTGTGTTCATTTAATGATGCATTGTAGACTAATACATCATAAAAAAACTCTTCCTCAAATAGGCTCTAAACACATGGTTCATAAGGGATTGAAATGTAGCAGGGGCATTTGTTAGGCCAAAGGGCATAACCTTGAACTCATAGTGCCCCAAATGTGTTCTAAAGGCTGTTTTGTACACATCCTCCTCCCCTATACGTGGATTGTGAGTGTTTGTCTGTTGGTAATTGCCATAGGTTGCTCCTTTTTCCCAGGTAGCCTTTCCTTTCCTATTCCAAGATTCAATTACTCTTTCTTGATGTCTAGCTTTATCCACAACTTGGCTTAGGTTATAGGGATTCAACATCTTCACTGTATGTCTTATATCTTCTTTGAGGCCTTCTACAAAGAATTCTAGAAAGAATTGTACGGCTCCTGATCAGAACCCAAGCTTTTGGATCCTCAAATTTCTCCAAGTATTCATTGATTGTTCCCTTATGCTCCATCTTTTTAAACTCACCAATGAGATTGAATCTACTGTTGTCTGCATCTTGGAATCTCTTACAGATTTCTTCACAAAACTCTGACCATCTAACATTCCCTTTGCTTATTTGACAGGAGAAGTACCGTGCTTCTGCTCTCCCATTGAGATGCAGTACTGCCTCTTCAAGTTTTTGCTCTGGATTGGACACATGGTTGTAATGAAAATATCTCACACTTTTTCAGCCAAGAGCAAGGATCAGCTCCCACAACACCATCAAAATAGGAAAACTCCACCCTGAAGTTGTAGTTGCCATGATTATCATGGTGACTTCAATCATTGACCAAAGCAGTAGGGACTTGTTCTCTTCTAAGGCTACTTCCCTGTTCCTCTTGCGGATGGATCTCCACTGGTGCACTACCCAGTATACCTGCGCGATTGGGCAACAATTTTTCCATCAACACATCAAACCCCCTAGCCAGTTCATCGATTTTGGCATCCGTTAGTCTCAGATTTCTTACTTTCTTCTGCAATATGATTTTGTAACTGTGCCTCTAACTTCTTGAGACTGTCTTCCATAGATTTCGATCGAGTTTCTGTAATAGTCATAATTGTGGGGCCGGGAGATGCTCTGATACCAAATGTAATGTTCTTATATGAAATTTGCAAACAAAAATGGAATTCGAACTTTTATTGATAATTGTCAACTGTATTACAACTCAGAAAGTTACAATTGGAAACTAATGGGCCTTCAATCGGAGCTTGAGCTTTAATGACGAATCACCTGAGAGAATAAGAAGTATGGTAAGAGAGAAGAGAAGAATGAAGAGAGAGAGA